CACACACCCTCTTTCTCCTTTCTTCTTCTCCGATGGTTCACTTCATGTCATCCTCCTCCTTTCTAGCCGTCAGCATTTCTCTAACAGGCCATCGAGTTTACTCTTGCCACTTCTATTCTCAGAATTACGGCTGTTGTTGCTCATAACACAGGAACGCAGCGCTGTGATGTGGCCAGATGTCCCACAGCCGCCTTGCACAACCCAGTGTGACGCTTGTGTTGGCTGTGCTGGCCGGTGTTTAACCAGGCCCCCAGGGCCAGCCATGACCCTACGGCTGCCACACTGAGGGGGCATTTGGCTGTGCACTCAGTCACCCACAGGGGGGCTTTAAAAAGGGAGAGGTTGATGTGTTGGGCTGCAAAACACTCTCATGGCACATTTTTGAATTGCTGGAGTGTGAGGTTATATTGTAATTCACACAGTGTGAGATGCCTAACTACTGAAATGATACAAGTTGCTGTACAGATTCAGTATTGAGAGATATAGAGCCTCTGCTGCTGCTCCTGCTATAGTACTTAATTTATACATACAGTTATAGATACATTTGTATAATCTGTTAGACTGATTATAATCATTGCATTTTATATTTGCACCAGAAAAAGCATACCTAAATTGCCAGCATGCATACAAAAATGTCTTTATTATTGAGATGGACTCAGGTTTGAAGTTGTATGCTATTCTGTGGCACAGTGTAACAGGAAACTGAAGTGATGGGCTCCTGAAAAGATGCAGTGAGGTGATATTAGTGACAGCTAAAAAATTCACCCCCCCCCATGACAATGACATCACTAGAGAAGCTAATGAGACTCTGAGATCACCAGAGCCAGACAAATTACCATCACTCCTCAGCTTTCAGCCACACCCTGAATGTCTATGTTCAGTGCTTTCGAACACCATCCCTGTCTGTGCTAACTCAGGCAGAGCGATAAAGAGTTATTCATTACCTGCGTGCTGCCGTCCTCTACCTAACACACCACTTATACCTCTGGATAATTAGTCACTAATGAGAGAGCAAGTCCATGATGTCAGGTTTGGTGGCCCTGACCACCAGTTTCCCTCCTTCACACACAGAAAAAGCTGCAATGTCACCGCTTTAGACTGCCATGGGATGTTTGTGTCTGTATTTGAGAAACAAATATGTTTTTGGCTTTTATAAGGAAGTGTTTCTGTTTAACAAGACTTACTCATGACATTTCCTTGAGTGACCTGCCAATGACCAACTATCTCAATTGCGCAGTGTAGTGTGGTGTGGTGTGTCACAGGATGGTCTGGAGGCTGCTGGGAATGGTTGAAGAGGGAGGAGTGATCCCCAACACCCTCAGACTTACTGTCACTCTGTAGGACTCAACAAGGACCTCTGTCTTTTACAGTACCCAGGATGA